GCAAATAGGTAACATAATAAGCATTTTAAATAGATACATTAACAGGATCAGCACAGAAGTTATTCCAGGAAAGAAACATAACTTAAACTCATGTAAATTTAGGCTGACAGCATGAGTAACTACAAACCAAGCAGCACTGGGTTGGTTTTTTGTGTTACTGAACAGGTGATGCCCCCTAAGAGCAGCTTGTTCTCTGCCCATTATTAAAACCTCTCAATTACTGTGAAGAACAGCCCAGGGGCCAAACCCCTTCCCTGCCTTCAAAGCTCAGCATTATCCTCTGCAGGCCTGAGTGCAATCTCTATCTGCCACAACAAACCACCTTTATCCCAGGCAGGTAATTACAGGCTCAGGTCAAGGATTGATTTCATGGCCCTGCAGCTCTGGCTGCCTCCACTCAAGCAGGGCAGCCCTGACACCAGAGCTCCTGCAATGGGAGCCCAGCCCTGGCTCAGCCTGGCATTTATTGCCTGTGGCAGCAGGGCCAGCCTGGGAATTCACAATGGTGGTGACTTCATCTGCCAGCTGCATTCACACATCTTTACTACCTGAATAACTGATCTGCACTGCTCCCAGGCAGCACTTTGTGGTGTACAGCGTTTGGGAATAAATATTTGATTGTGCATACAACAGAAAGGAGCTCAGATGGTTTAAGGTGTGACAGCAGAAGTGTTTATTAAATTCTAAGTGAGAGCATTGCTGGACAGTAAGAATTTGTCCCTTGGTCTCTGCCTCACAGGTGTGGTGATGAACAATAAAAGGACAACTCCCTCCCCCACAAAGCCCCAGTCAATTCTTCTGTTCATTAAACCCTCTGCAGGCAGAACTCTCTGTCCATGACCAGCCAGTCACACACAAAAGAGAGGGAAGTACTAAATTACAAGCTGATTTTAAGTGGGCATTGATTGAAGTAACCAGAAGAGAGCTTAGTACTGTCAGAGTTTCATACAACAGTAATAAAGAATCTTCATTAAAAAATGATGTGTGCATCCCCCTGCAGCACAGCACTCACCAGGTTTCAGTTGAGAACATTAAGGTTCCCTCCACCCCACACACAATTAATGAGGAAAAGAATCCTCAGGATCTTTTTCTTCTACAAATTAATTTTATTCATTAAATAATGCCATTCACTGAAATCCTTCCCACTCAATTTCTGTATTTATTCTAGGCAAGAAAGAAGTAGATTTATTATTCTATTCTGTGATCTCCTCCCAGCAGGAAAGGAAGAGGTTGATGCAAAACATGAGATTAGACAATTCCTCTGTCAATGCTCTTATCCTCTACTAGCAACACAACCAAATCATTACTTGGCTGATGGTAAGTGTCCAAAACCTCTTTGTGTGAGGGAACAAACAAGGCTTTCCATAGACAGACACACAGATGCAGCCACTTCTCTTAAATGAGCAGGACTGAGTCACTGAGCACACCTGAGGACCTGAGCCCACACCTGGGGTGCAGCTGAAGGGAAACACTCAGTGCAGCTCTGTGGGCAAACTCACTGACCAGCAACTGCTGCAAAATCCTTTCTCTGGAGCTTTTCCAGCTCTGGAAGCTGAGAATTGACTGTACAGATATCCTAACCTGCCCATACCCCTGATTTCTGCATCATTCATTATTCAGAGAGCCCCACCAGGTTTGCTTTTTCAGATATGTAACACACATGATGTATGTCATTCCTCCACAGGTCAGAGAATGAAAATTCAGAGGTGCCTGGTTGGTGTGGGTGTGTAAAGAGTGTGACCTTCATCTGCAGCATCACCTGCACACAGGAGGACTCTTTAAGGTTTATTTTTCATTTCTGGGCTCATAAATAGAACCTGACTTGCTAAGGCTTAACCCACCTGTGTCAAAGCCAAGCCCAGAGCCTGAGCACACCTTTGGGGAGGAGGGACAGACACCTCTCCTTGCTGCACAGTGAGCAGCTCCCACCTCTGCAGTGCTGCTGCTGCATTATCACCAAAGGCTTCCTGCTTTACAAAGATTTAAACTCACTGCTGTCCCCCTTTAACATTTCCAACTGCCAATCTGGAACAGCATCTGGAATTACAGTGCATTTAATCCTTGAGGGTATATTCTCTCTCTGATGCATATGACTCAAATATGTGCACTGAGGGACAAGTGTCCAGTAGCTTTAGGTGACTGAATTTTTGCAAACTTTTCTTGAAAAAAATAAAGCAGATAAGAGTGTCTTAGGAGAATTTTGAGTTGATAGAACCATATTGTAATATGCATTTTTAAAACACATCCAAATAACCTTTACAGATTCAGCCATCCACCTTGAGAATGCCACCGCAAATTTTCATTATTGATAACAACATTATTTGTTGAATTTTGCACTTTTTAAATGAAGACTTTTCCAAGTGATCTTATGAGACTGTCCTTAGCACACCACAGTTTTACAGACACATGAGGAAAAAGCCATGCTTAAAAAAAAAGGGCACACAAAATGCTTAATAAATGCAACAACAGAATTGTCACCAATGGGGGAGAAGGAAGGAAGCTATTGGGAATGGCAGAAGGATAATGGAGATGATAAACATGTACTTGAAGTCTTTTGATAGGAAGGAGAAGTGATGAGTCAGATAAGCAGAGGCGCCACTCGGGTTGCATCTCCAAGCAACAGGCAATCAAAGCTCCAGATAAGCATCTTCATAAAGTGCAACAGGCTCCAGTGCAGGGGCAGAGCTGAACAATCACTTCCTGGTTCAGCTCAGGCAGGAAAAATTTATGACCTACTTAAAAATCCTTCAAAGCTAAAAATGGCTTTTCCATAAAGAACATCAGCTGTGTAGGGCACGCCGTGGGAAGAGCAGGAAATGAGAATACTCAAAGTGGTGGACTGGAGCACAAAAACTCAGTGCTGTACATGAGTGGTGTTAAAGCCAAACCCTTCCCATCCACAGCTGAGATTAATGGAGTTTTCTGCACATCTCAGAGGTGAGAGGAGAAGAAAATAAACATAAAATACTCTTCTTTCCTTTGCTGGGCTCTGGTACAAGAACAGTTTGAAATCTCAAAAACAGTGTATATATTTTCCTTTTGTCTCATTTACTCTGCAACAATTCACACCCCTAAACCATCACACTATTTAGAATCTGAGCCCCTAAGTTCTGCATGGGAAAGAGTGAGGATCAGGCAACACAAAACCTGCAAAGAGATGCTAAAATCCCTGAATCAAAAATCAATTCCAACCCAACCTTTCTGGGTGAAGTAAATAAAATACTGCCATCAGCATGTCCCTGACAAAACCCATGTATTGTTTACAAGAAACTTATGAAGTGTTACAACCAAACTGAGTCACTGCTGTACAGTAAATATATTTTTAGTGTCCTAACAATGTATACAATGGATTTTGGCAATTTTAATATAGACACACATGTTAAAGGCATTATAAATGAGGCTTCATCACATTCACATGAGTCAGTTCATATTAAAGCCCCATCCACACCTCAGGAAAAGCTGTTCAGCATGGAAGAGGCACAGTCCTGTGTTTCCATTGTTTCTGTTGCAGATGGAGTAACACAGCTTTAGGAAGTGCTACAGTCACAGAATGCTCACATTTCAGAATTACTGCACATCCCTGGCACAGGTGAAGGCACTGCTCCTACACAGGAGGGAAAAATCCCCACCCTGATAATGCTGAGATCTCTCTCTCTATCAGCTGATAGTGAGGCACAGCTCTCCTTTAATCACTCAGAATCTCAAGTGTCACATACACACCCTGAAGCTCTCCTGTGATTCCAACTTGGAACCTTTTAAGAGCAATAACTATAGATGAACTAGGCAAAAAAAAAAAATCATAACTGATGCATTAATATTTTCTTCTGTATCAAACAATTATTTTCAAAATTACTTTGCCATGTAGTAAAACAAACAAAATTCCCCTTCAATAACCAACACCAGATGTTTGTCTAAGCCCAACAGGAATTAATTTAACAACTTTTAAATATTTGAAATGGAATTTATAAGGACAATTCTCAATATCCAAAGTAAATGTGGTTACTATTGAACTCTGTTATAAACACATATATGAAATATCCTGTAATACCCAAATAAATTCATTTGGCAAACAATGAAGTATCTTGGACTCAGCATTTATATCAAACAGCAAACAGAGTCTGAAACAGGAGCTTTTATTTTAACTCTCTTTAAACCAACCTTCAGAAACCCCTTTCTGTATGTGTTACAGTCTCTTTTTACAGTTTAACCTCAATCCAATCAGGAGTCTCCAGGGATTTTCAAATCACTGAAGATTAAAATCCTCTCCGACTTGACTGTTTGACTAATGCTGTGTGTTTAATAATTCTACTTGTGAGAGATTTTATTTGACAAAATCCTGCTGTGTGGACCCTCAGACGCTGTACAGCTGCACTGGAACATAAAGCTCTGCTGCTGCCCTTGTTTCTTTAGACAGGCTATTCCCCAGCACTGAGGGGAAAAGAGAACTTTATAGTACATCTATTACTCTGTTGATATTAACACAACCACTGTAGTATTAAATCTACACACTCTTTTCAGAGCAGAGCAGTGAAAATGTGCCTATTACACAAACATTAGATAAACTCTCCTGTTGTCCCGAGTGTTCACAGAAATCAATTACATTTATGATTACATTTCAATGAAAGCTACTTTATAAACGAGATGGAACTGTAATATTCTATGCTTTAGGCATTCATTAATAAAAGCATTTCAGTGTTAGTATTTGTAAATGTTCTGCTTTTTAGTTTAGGCAATTTTTAGCATTCTATAGCTCATGTTAAACTTTACATAAATAGTGTGTCCAGATCTTACCACAATGCTGTGACTTCACATTTGAGTGGTAAGGGAGGGGGGAAATAAAAATCATCATTACGGCAGGATCGAGTATTTGTACGAGACAGCACTTACCCTGTGGTGCAGAAAACCAGGACAACCTCGATGGCAACTATTAGTACACACGTTACCAGCCAAAACAAAAGAGCAGGCTGCTGAATGTGGAACAGAAATGAGGGTGCTCCTACCTGAAGTAGCATCGATGACCGTGGAGACGCCGCGCCGGTCGGCCGCGGGCCGCGGTGACCCCGGCATGCTGACGGGCTCCGAGCGCACCGGCTGGATCCTGGCAACCACACAAGCACACAGTGAGCCAGGCTGCACAACACCCTGAAGGCCACCAAGTCCAACCCATGACCTGGCAGCTCCTCATCAGCTAAAGCATGGCACTGAGTGCCACGTCCAGTCCTTTTCTGAACAGGTCCAGGATGGTGACTGCACCCGTCCCTGGGCAGAGGATTCACAGCCACCACCTGGGGTGGACCCAATCTCACCCAAACGAGAATCACCTGGGACAAGCAGCAATTCAATTGTGAAATTGCTTAAAAGCTGTTGGAAAGTTCTGGTTTCTCTTGCTTGGTGCACCTGAGATTGGGATAATCCACCTAGAGACTCACAGTGGGTATTCCCAAAGAATGGCTCAGATGGGAGCTCTCAGGAAGCCTCAAAGGAAAAAGATCACCCCACCCAAACCTGGTTAAAAAGCCTCCATTGCCCTCCTCAACAGCAGGGTTTTAAAGACCCATTTGTAATTGTTGATTCCTTTTGTAATACAGATCTGTATTACTTCTTTTTATTTCTGCTTTCTTTCTGCATGTGTATACCTATATATATATATATTTAAAAAAAAATTGACAGCACCATCCTTGCTCATGGCAGTAATAAGACACAAGGAAAAATCACACGTTTCAAACCCATGGATTTCCAGTCCAAGGACAATCTGCCCACTTTTCATGGGACAAGTCATATTATCCATCTCTGTTGCATTACTCCTAAGAGTTTCAGACACAGTCCCAAACAATCCAAGTCCATACCACAGAACTTTGGACTTCAAATCACATGCAGAGTCAGGAGCATGGAAACTTGTTAAATCTGGAGTTACTGGGCAGGACACAAACACTTGGAGCATAAATCTCTTCTACAAATCACCAGTAAATGTAAACCCACATTACCTCTGCTCTCCTTCCTTCCCTTCCCTAAGCCCATCCCCTGCCCCCAATTCCAAATCAGCTAATGTCCAAAACCAGATGAATTAAATACATGAAAAAGAATTACAAGGAAGGAAAAAAAGGAGTGGGAAAAAACAAAAACAGGGAGGAGGAAAACATTCCAGAAGTTCACTTACTGTTCCAACACACTGACCGCTGTCTAAATTCATGGCACAAAGCTCCCACTCACGTCTGAGAAAATGAATTTATTAAGCAATGCAGAAAGTGGGAAAGGCAAGAGGACACTGAGCAAGGCCACCAGACTTTGTGCTGTGCAGACTTTGCCTGCCATGTGCCCAAGAAGGGACAGCAGAAGGAATCTGAGCTGCTTGGCCTGGACTGATTTTTCTCGCTGGTGCATCACACGCTCTTCCAAGACTTTCCTCTGGACAAGGCTGATAAAAAATGTGACACATCCCACATACAGCAAATGTCAGACAGCTGGGAAATAGGTTTGATTTTTACCTGAGGCTGTTGAGATCCAGATCATCTGTGTCAAAGTCCAGCAGAGGCTGCGGGGTGTCGCTGGGCCCGTGCGACTGCAGCACAGAGGAGCTGGAGGAGATGACGGTGGTTTGGCCGGAGGGGTGGATGGTTTTGAACTGGAACTGAGGGCCCATCCACAGGCGTCGATGAGGCCCAGTGTGAGTCACAATTTCCACCTGTGGGAAGGGATATGGGCAGTGATTAACAGAGCTGCAACTCCAGATAATGAGGGGTTCCTTTGGTAGGCTGGACTCCTGGAATCCTGCTGTTCTCAAGTGAGAAGGGTGTTCTGAGCCAGGGTGTTTGCAGCAATGTTTAACAGAGCAAAATTGGGGATGTCTTTGCTGGAGAATGGATGCTTCAGCCAAAGCCAAGAGCTTTTTGCAGAGACTTGAAAGCTCGTGAACCACCAGCCTCAGGACACTGAACTCCAGTTCTTAAATTGTTCTAAAGATCAAAGCTTCATCCTGGCCACCACTTCACCTGATCCTGTTCTTTCCTCCCCTTGCCATGATGAAATACACCCTAAAACTCGAATGCTATGACCAGAAGGGAACACACTTCTGCCTGAATCTGCATGGAGCAGAGAAAGGAACCAAAAGCCCACATCCCCCAGACATCCCCATCCTGAGCAGGGTGAGGGAAGAGCTTCCAGGGAGCTCCTTCCAGCTTTGTTACAGCTGCTTGGTGAAAAGTCCACAGCTTCAACTGCTTCCCATGGATACAGTGAGAGCTGGATTGCAAATCACAGCTCCTAATTCCTGTTGGCACATGTGAGGAGAGGCTAGCACAGAGCATCTTGTGGGAAGCACAAGATCCATAACCTAGAGCCATGGCAAGAGTGCTGGGATGAGCCCAGGTCATGCTGAGCACAGGAACACAACCATGGATGTGCCACAGACAGGGTCCACACAAACACATCCATTTAACCAAAATTTTGACAATTTAGCAGAAGTAGGGTGCTTGTGATCAAAAAAACTGTAAATAAAAGGGTAAACAAAGCATACAACTTCGTAATCAAGAGAATAGAATCATTAAGGCTGGAAAGGTCATGCAATACAAGACTAAAAATCAAAAAGAACTTTTAAAGATCAGAAAAAGGAAAGATAAAATGCAATTATTAAGCTCTGGTGAACTCATACTTTTAGAACAGAAAATAGACTATGAAGTACCTATCAGTTTCTGCTAAAACAACAATCAGCCTCAAAGCAGAAATGCAAATCAGTGAGGGAATTAATGAAAACAGATTTTTGTATAGGTACACAGATGTATACCAGTAGTGATTCTCCATCTTTAAGGAGCAATTTGAAAGCCTGGACGATGTCAGTTCTCTGCTAATGTCAGACAACAACCACCAGCTCTATTTCCATCTTTGCATTTAGCTCAGCCTAACTCAGCTTGGCTGCAGCCCTTTCTGAGGCAAGTAGCTTTTATGTAGCAGCGTAAATTAGGCCACAGATAAAGTAATCTGTGTATTTTAAGCTTGAAACCATCAGTGTCACAGAGCCGAGAGGTAAACAGATGCCTTTGCAATTTTACTGAGGCTATGGCCAGATGTTCCTATTCACTCTCCTGTTGTGTGCAGGACAAACATATTGTATCTACTTCCCACTGACAGCACACATTACCCACTGTTCTAATTGAAAAGTTGAAGTGAAGGGCGGTGTTTTTTCACTGCTTGCTGTTGCTGTTGATAACAACACTTTAATTTTGAAAAACATCCTTGCACTTTAGGCTTAATCTGAAGTGGCTTGCTCGGGGAGCAAGCATCGCCGTGCTCCAAGGGCTCTCATCACTCCTGCTCTCAGCAGGAATTAAACATTTCAGGAGCATTCTCAGAATTATCCCTCTTCTGTGACATCACTTGGGATTTTTATTTCCCTTTATAAATTTATTTACTCTTCTAGAAAGATGGATGTGGTGAAGTTCGAGCAGTCAAAGTTCTGTTGACATTTTATATCTTCCAAGAAATAGTAATAAACAAACAGCCATAATGTAGGTTTACCATAATCTCTTTTTCCCTGAGGTTTCACCAGAACAGTAAAATAAGGAAATACCTCCAAACATTCCTGGAGAGGTGGAAAACTACAGGTGAAATCTGCTCCCAATGAGCTCAGAGATAAAATTCCTGTTGACTGCCCTGATTGAGAAGTTTCATCATCTTTGTGCTCTGAGAAATCAGACACAGCAGAAACAAATGAGACACCTCAATGTGCAGCCACATCTGAAACCTCAGACAGGTAAATGAACTCCCATGACTGGATTCCCCAGTGAATGCTCCTCCTGGGCAGGTCCATGTGGAAACCTAACCTCTCATTTCAGAAAAAGCTTTGTATGATTTATTCACCAGTGGGAGAAGCAAATCCCATCCATAAATATTTCATATTTATGCCATACACCCCAGCAACACATTTAATGCATCACTCCCACAACAACATTGTTCTTAAACCAGAGGAAACCCACCTAATTTGTCAGGGTGAATTCCATGGATCAGGTACCTTGTAATTGCTTTGGCAAATCCAGAGCATTTGTAAATTTAATTTATTTATTTAACTCTAACCTTTCATTTCTAACAGGAACTAATTCTCAGTGTATTATTCATGACCTACATTCTTACACTGAGGTTCTGTTTTGAGCCAAATGGTCAAGTATTTACTGAGTTCTTGTAGAGAAGCTTCATTGACTGAGACAAAGCAAGATTGGATAACAAGACAAAGATTAGACCTCATATAAAAATCCTCCACCAAGCATGATAGTTTTAAAGGAATACAGTATTTATATCTGGTCAGAAGTCACAGGAATTCTCAATAGGAAATGATAACCAGGGTAGGAAGGAAATAAATGAGCTACTGCCCCCTTTTTATGGTCAAAGGAAGGGCACCACCCAAAAGGCACCATCATTCTGCCAACTTCCTTCATCCCTGCCCAAAAAGCACCATGCCAGGAGAAAAAGGGAGGCAGGTCACTTGGTTGTTGCCACCTGAAACTTCCCACTTCATGCTGAGCTTCCCAGGGATGTGACTGTCAGGAATGCTGGGGCTTTGTCTGGCTGGGGACCATCAGATCCATGCCCGCACTCGGCAGCGGAGCCAGCTTCACACACAGCAACACCCTGGCTGTTGGAAGTTTACTTCCCACTTGGAGGAAAGTTGTGAATTTTGCTTCCAGTGGCTCCCATTGGTGTTTTGCTGGCCTGGAAGCCTCCAGAGCATACCTGTGACAGCCACTCCTCATCCTCCTGCCCGCTGTGGTCGGAGGCCAGGCTGTCGTAGGACTCGTGCCGGGTGATGGGCCCAGGGCTCCCAGGTGGCACCACTGAAAAAAACCCACAAAACACAAAATCAGACTTATTGTTACATGATTTATTTAAAAAAAAAAAGCTTTTAAAATAAGTTATTGGCACAGCAATGTGTGTTTTCCTAAATCTGTGACAACAAATTTTCTAGGAGTGCAGAAAGAGCTCAAATATTGACATTAAAGGGATGAAAAGATTTCTGCTCTTTGACTTGGATGTATCCATACAGCCACCAAGATAACTCATTGGCTCTTCTTCTTTTAACCTGAGGTTCTTAAAATACCAAAGTATTTTTATATTCCCACATTTTATAATCAAGGTTTTAAAAAATTTTAAAAACTATATTATTGCAGGGTTGACCTTTATGTGTCAAGCTTCCAACCACTACAAATTTTTACAGCCATGTAGTAAACCCCCAATAATTGGAGTTTTAATGGCAAAGCAGACACAATGGTAGCCATAAATACAGAATGGCGCCTCTGTACTGTAAACAGCTTTGCATAAATCCATACACTATATGGAATAAAGGGATTTCCATCCTGGTTTGTGTGTGTCAGTATCTGAAGCTACAGAGCCATTTCTCACACCTCTGGATCACAGAGTGTCCATACTCTCAAACCTGCAACGTCCCAAATTCAGCTCAGGGCCCAACTTACTCCAGAATTATTCCAAGTGCCAGAAAATTTAGAACATGTTCTTAAAAAAGAAGCTCAGACTGGATATTAGGAAAAATTGGAAGCAATGGAAGAGGCTGCCCAGGGAAGTGGTGGAGTGCCCACCCCTGCAAGGGTTCAGACAACGAGCAGAGATGGCACCTCATGGTATGGTTTAGTGGGCATGGGTTGGACTCGATGTTTTTGGAAGTCTTTTCCATCCTTAATGGTTCTGTGCTTCTATGATAAAGCACCAAGTTTTATATTAGGAAGAAATTCCTCCCTGTGAGGGTGGGGAGCCCCTGGCACAGGGTGCCCAGAGCAGCTGTGGCTGCCCCTGGATCCCTGGAAGTGTCCAAGGCTGGATGGGTCTGGAGCAGCCTGGGACAGTGGGAGGTGTCCCTGCCATGGCAGGGGTGGAATAAAAGATCTTTAATGTCTCTTCCAACCCAAACCATCCTGAGATGCTGTGATCTGCCATTTTCCCTGCAATCCCCACTCTGTGCCTGTGCACACCCATGCTGACAGCCCCAGGTGTTATCTCAGCTTTGTCTTCACCAGTTTTCAGGTAATACAGCAACCACCTCCATCTGCTTCCTTACATCCATGAGAGACTGAATTCCATGGCTGAGGGATGTGTCTGTCCAGTCCAAACTCCTGTCAGAGAACTCACACTCCTTCCAGAGGATTCACAGTACAATGTGAATATGAAATCACAGCACCCACTTCTCTTCCTCAAAGTTTGTACTTAAAACCAAAGAAACAAACCCATTATTTTGACTCATTTTTCTGTTGCCCTCATGCTCCCCACATCTCCTGGCTCCCCACTCTGAATCCTCCTGCCTGTTTCAGAGAGCACAGCTGATCAACTGCAGGCTTTCCTGTTACTCAACTCCCTAACAAACTTCATGGCTCCAGCAGATGGTTTTGCTTTCAAACCAACAGGAACTTTATGGACTGATCTGAATTTTTTTTGTTCTTTCTATCCCAAGGGCAACTACCAGAGCTGTCAAGATTAGGGAAGCTGCAAAACCACAGCCCAGGGAGCAGCATCCCCCCTGCTTGGTCGCTGTATTTCTCCCTTGGGGAATACTTTTACATTTTACTGGAGATTCAAGATGGCTTTACAGTGAGAAAGAAATTTGAAAAAAACAAACAACTGAAAAGCTGAACAAATGATTCGTTTTGGTGCTGCACTGGAAGCCTTTCCCTGAGGAGCCACAGGTCTTGTGTTTCCACGCAGCTTCCGAGAGCAGCATTAACTCTTTCCACCCAGGAGTGATGAAATGCTGAATTCCATGGAAAAGCTCTGCCTGAGAGTTCAGCAGCAGGGCAGCAGTGATAAAGCCTCAACTGAGGTCAGCCCTCAGTCATTTATTTGGCTGTTTAATAAAGCAGCATTTCTGTGCCACACCTATCACAAAAGCAGTTTGGAGGGGCTGGTTGGGATGGGGGATCCCAGCTCACCACGGGCCTCACTCCCACCATTCCCAGTGGGAATGTGCAGTGTGCTGGGAGAAGTGACCTTATCAGACAGTGATCCTGGCTGGAGATCTGCCATCCCTGTGCTGCTTGTTACACATGTACATATGGGCACATTTTTCCAAGTTGAAAATGCCCTTGAAGCTGTAGGAACAAACACAGTGTAAAAATGCAAAGCACCTTTTCCTCTTTTCCCCCTTTTCTGGGCACACACCTCTCACATCCATATCAAGCTCCAAGATGAGATTAATTTAACCCTGGAAGGACATTTCCAGGAATTTGAACTCAGGATTAATCTTTTATCTTCCAGCTTAACTCCTTGAAAATCTGAATTCACACTGGAAATTACAACAGACTTCACCCATCAGCGAGGTTATTCTGATGCTGCAGCACAGAGTATTTTAATTTATGGAGAATTTCCCAACCATGCAGGATAACAAATAATAAAATTCCAATTCTTGCAAAGCTTTGTAGCAAATGTTTTTTACTGGTCCTCCTGTAATTTCTCTTTCCTTGGGAAAAGTCACAAATGGAGCAGACACAGAGCAGGAGCAAGAAAGCCTTGGCTGCACAGAGATATTTTACTGCAATTGCAGGTGCCTTGTACCTTCCTAAAACAATCAATTCAATGCCTTATGTCTGAGCTATGCTAAATTTTAACTTTTTCTGCTCTCACACCAACATCTGGAACAAACACATCAAATATCAGACTCCAAATGAGTCTGTTTAACCTAGCAATACACGAAGTGAAAAAGTACAAAAAATAAGTATTTACTAAAAATCTAACAGAACTTCTGTCTGTGCAGTATGACAGGATATGAGTTCCTACAGTCTGCTTATTAAATCAATCCAAAATTCAAAATTCAAGGACACTTCTGAAAAACTGGACTGATACCTATAGCAAAAATCAGATTTTTGCCACCAATATTTGGCAAGGGGCAAAAAGGATCTTTGAGCTGCTCAGAAGTAACAATGGCACCTTTACTCTCTGTCCTCCTTCAAGCCTCCCTTCTCTGCACTGACAGGATTGATGTTACCATTATATTGAAGGAAGATTGTATCTGAAAAAAACACACTGCAAATGAAGTTATTTGTGTGATAATTGTTAGTGCCAGGAAAACTGCACAGAAGGGACTGTGGAGACACAAGTGTCAACACAAGGCAAAGCAAAGGCTGAAACACAGCAGAGCTGATATTCCCCTGGAATTCCAGACCTGATTCACACAGTTCCATGGATAAGTATGTAAAAAAACCCCTCATTGTTCAGAAACTTCTCCTTGATATTTACTGACAAGTAGAGAAAACAAACAATTTGTATTAATCTCAAATAATTTGCACAGACATTCCTGCCACGTGAGCAAGAGCTAGATAAATACACATTGGAGGAATATTGGAATTAACACACAGTGGGTTTGCTCATGGATGGGCTAATTATACAATAAATACCTAAAGCTAAGACAAATCTTCCTTCAAGGATTATAAATTATCATCTTTCAGCAGCATAAAAGTGTTAGAACAAAGAACCACTACAGTTCAATTGTAGTGTGTGCACTTATGGCTTTAATTTGGGAACAATAAATCATTAGTTTTACTTAGTTTTGTGTACTTCTTGAACCAAAAGGTTTTAATTTTCTCATTTATAGAAATAAGCTTTGCACAATTCAATTTAATTGAGAGTTATATATGAAATTCCCAATGTGCTCTTCTCTAAGGGCTGCATGTTTGTCCAAATTAAGAGCAAACAAAGGCATCTGAGCACCACAAAGCCTGTTTGTTTGGTGCTGCCTGCCGTGCACATGCCTGCAGACACCCAGAGAGCTTGCCTTTTCCATCTCCATAATTATAACTTAATATAATTAACGTTAATAATGTCAAATGAGTTTCTAAAATGCAGTAGGAACAGGACAATGTACTCTTAAATAACCCCTGCAATCTCCAGTGATGTCTGTGGTGAACAGGTACCCAGGATAAAAATGACATATCCCTTGTTTCCATAAAAACCCCACCTTAACACCTGATTTTGATGGTTTTTTCTCTGGTTCCTCAGCTACATCTAGGTGGTGCAGAGACCTGAGGTAATCACATGATTGCAAACAAACTTCAGGAGTCCTTGTGCTGGAAAATTCAGCTCCACAATTTGAATTATTTCCTTCATGCCTTTGTTCCATAGCACCACCAGCAGAATGTGATGGTTCTGGTCTCCACAGAGCCACTCCAAATTCACCACATTCACCATTCTTCCCTGTTATTGATGTGATCTCAGCTCTGTCAGGGGCTGGTTTTGGTGTCCCACACTTGTGTAGCTCACATCCAGCACGTGCTTTGTGGGTTTGTGTCAGAGCTCTGTGCCTCTGGCTCTACCTCTGCCCAAGTGTGACAACAAAGCAAAGGCCAGGATTTCATTTTGCCAGAACACTCCCAGCCACGTTAACAATAAACTGTTTGTAGGCTGGAGATATGCTCCATGTAATTTTTCTTGTGGCTGCACGTTCCTGAACAAAGTTCTGGTTTTAATGCAGTTTTCAGCTTGTAAACTCCCACAGGAGCATGGCACGCAAATTAAAATATCCTCTTTTACCCAAAACTACTCCCTGCTCATTTTTTTTCCTGTTAGGACTTTCTGAGATTCTCATATGCATAAATATAGTAAAGTTAAGCTAAAAAAGGGCTGTAAAGCAGGAGTTTAGCGAGACTGACAGTTACTCCACACCACCAGTTGATTAGAGCTGGATTCATTCACTATTTGTGTACTGTCCACAGTTTATTTGGTGCTTTATGGACCATCTACTCTCTGTATCAGCACTTTAATAAAGACATAGCTAGGTCTGTAATTAGGAGATTAATTCTTCTTAGATTTTTTTTGGATGACTGCTTTACTTGCTCCT